GGTTAATTTTTTTTTTTTTTTTTGGTAGAGACAGGGTCTCTCCATGTTGCCCAGGCTGGTCTCAAACTCCTGGCCTCAAGCGATCTTCCTGCTTGAGCCTCCCATCTTGGCCAACAGAGTGCTGGGATTACAGGCATGAGCCACCACACCTGATCAAATTGCCCTTATCAAATTTTTAATGACAGACCAATAGGGAAAAGCAGAATAGTAGTATGGAGTAGGGCACAAAGAAATGGACATCAAGACAGGGCTTGGCAAGCTCTATGCCAACAAGACTGTTGAGAGTATTAAATGAGATTTATAGAGCGCTCAGCATAGTGCCTAGTACATAGTAAATAATGAAAGGTAGCTCATAGCCAAATCACAGAAGAAATCCAACAGGGAATTGAAAAACACTTCAGCATGGGAGCAAGAGAAGGGGAAATTAGGTATTCTTGGCATAGCTACTGAAATGTCTGCCTGCTTCCCTAGCCGCTCTGTACCCTTGTGAGTAATGGCCGAGATGAGGGCTACAGTAGGAATAGTATAGGAACTATATCCCCTTTTATTAGGGACGGTGTGTGGTGGCTGCACGGAGTAGTACAATTCCAAATCTTACACTTTGAAAATATTTGAATACACCAATATAATTGGTTAGTGATGAAGTATTTGTATGGGCTGCTTTTTGTAAGAGACTGTTGGAATCTGCAGACACGGTGTGAAGACATAACTTCCTAATACTATAATTCTTTGTTCTTTAGCTTCTGAAATTCCTTCAAGAAGGATCAGTCCTAATATAAGCACAAAAGATGACCAGAACTTGGGAAGTTCATCTTTTGTTCATTAGGTTTCCTTAGATTCTTTACCATAATTTATCATGTTTTTTCCACTGGCATTTTGGGGGTAGGGAATGGGAAAGAGAGAGGGACAGACAGTCCTTGTTTCAGAGGAAATGTAGTTTTCTCAGGAAATTGGTATTTTTTCTTATTTGATTCCTTTCTCTTAGATCTTTAGAATTGGCAGATTCCTACCAAGGAACTATTTAGCTGGCTTAGCCTTCTTACCTATCTCACAGATAGAGAGGAGACGTTACTTGGCTTGGGGATGTACAGAAAGAGGGATCGCTAGAACTCATACCTTCTGATTCAATCCCTAGGCCAGTGTCTTCTTCACTGCCTCCTATCTTTCTGCAAACAGCATTTTAAAAAATTTAGCGTAAAGGCAGTAGACACTGTCTCTAAGATTGCAGGCTCCGAATCTCTGCCTGGATTTGTACCTAAAATTTTTTGCTAGCTTGTAACATTGGTTAAGTTATTTAACCTCTTGTGTCTTGGTTTCTTCATTTGTAAGATAGGGATAATAATAGAACTTCCTCCATAGGGTTCTTGTGAGGTTTAAATGAATTAATGCACGTAAGGTGCTTAGAACAGTACCTGGTACATGCTAAACTCCCAGAGAATGTTAGCTGCTATTGTTATTATTATTGTGTTTTTTGTACTTTCTCCATCTTCATAGTCCTTAGTATCAAGTATGGATTGATATTGTTAATTTTCTTATTTCCGATCTTGTATCAGTGAGATGTTATATAAATATTAAATATTTTAACATCAGAAATAGTTGATTTTTTTTGCCTCTGGAATAACCTTTGTCTTCCGGTACAATGATTATGCTTTGTATGTTGGCTGTTGTAGTTAAGTGCTTGCTTTAGAATGATGTGGAACGTGTCATTTGATTTGGATGTGTCATTTGATTTTGCTTTATTTTTCCACAGCAATACAAGTTCTTGCGCTTTAGGAGATCTCTGCTCTTACTAGTTAAACATAGTTGTGTGGAATCACTG